TTTTTTTTGGTGGGTTTTCTTTTTTGGGGGGGATTGGTTTTTTGTTTTCTTTTGGGGGGATTCTTTTGTTTGTTTTTTGTGTTGTCAGTTTTCCTGTAAGTTAATGCTGGTTTTGGTGAATATGGAAGAATTGTATACATGTGTATCTGCTTGCAGGGAATTACATATACAAGGCATTTTGTGCTCTATAAGGTGTTCCATGCTGCATATCATAGAGTGGTGTGTAGCAGGTGGCAAGGACTATACTAAGACCATAAGCAAAGTAAAGGTTATCAAAGAGAAAGGCTGACCAGCGATGTTTGTTCACTTCCAAGGAGTCCCACTGCTGTAGGCCAGTGGTGAATAGTTCAGTTGCAAAGACATTTGTACCAATGTGATGCAGATATTCACTGTGACAACAGTGAACTTATTACCAATCAGTGTGTTTGAAAACTGTCAAAGGAAAAATGCCTCTTTGGAGTTTAAAACAAAATGTTACCTAACGGAGGGTGTGTTTCAGTATATTTACTGACTTTTATGGTTCTATTTATTCTTCATTGTGGAGTTTAAAGCTCTTGTCCATGAATCAGAGGCCTGAATCCACAAAAATACAAGATCTCATGTGCCAACATATGTTTGAAGCAAGAAGAGATGAAACCACACATGAGCTGGTTGTATCCCCCTTATTCTTTAAGCTTTTGACCAGCAGTTGTGTGAGCTTAAAGATTGCTCTGTGGCTGCAGAGAAGCATCCCTAGCTGTGTCTCCCAGCTCCCAAGAATTGTTATCTCAACTATCAGTTTCTTTATTTGTTTTCAGGTTTGTTTGGTGGTAGTTTGTTTTCTTGTTTTTTGTTTGCTCGCTTGTTTTTTTGCAGAGCTTTTTTGGGGTTTTTTTTGCAGATCTTTTTTGGTTGTTTTTTTGGTTGGTTGGCTGATTGTTTTTTTATGGGCTGTATACATTCATTGCTCAAAGGACTGCTTGACTGTAAATCTTTCTTTTACCCACCAGGCCTATCCTTGTACTAATGACAAGGAATGTGAAGTTGGGCGATACTGTCACAGTCCTCATCAAGCAACATCTGCATGCATGGTGTGCCGGAGGAAGAAGAAGCGCTGCCACAGAGATGGCATGTGCTGCCCTGGGAACCGCTGCAACAATGGTATATCAGTCATTTCTTGGGTTTCCTTTGTAAAAGCAGCATTTTGATAGCATCTATTTCTCCACGTGTTCCCAGCAACAGTATTTCACTATTTTTTTTTTCTGGGTGACACCGCTTCTTTTTCTAAACCAAGAAAAATATTTTACTTCATTCCACAGCACCTAATTTTTTTTAATAGTGTTTCTATGTTTAGGGCTTGTGTACTACCCGACTTTTTCACATTTTGTGGTGGGGAAACCCAAAAATGCTGCTGCTGCCTAAAATCACAGCTCTACATTCAATGTGGTTTGATTCACTGGAAGACTGCACAGAAGTTATATTTTAAGGAAGAAAAGGAGACTTGGTGAATCCTTGATCTACTCTCCCTGGAGAGGGTTATAACCATACTGTTTGCATTTGCACACTCTCCTCTGGAGACTGGAGAGAGGTGTCTACAAGGAAGTCTCCAGGTGCTCAGACCCTAAAGCCAGAGTGACAGCGAGACTGTCTGACAATGAATGAAGTGGAGCTTTGGTAAAGTTAAGTGCCAGGAATCAGAGACAAATGTGTGATTGGAGCTGAGCATCACTGAGGCCAAGTCCTAGTGCTTTCATGGTCCTGATCCTGGTCAGTGTATGTCTCTGTGTTGCTTTTCCTCTTATTCAGATCTTTGAGTGATCACCTTTTCCTTGCAGGTATTTGCATACCAGTAACTGAAAGCATCCTTACACCCCACATCCCTGCTCTAGAAGGGCCACGCAACAAGAAGAATGGTCATTATACTAGCAAAGATTTGGGATGGCACAACCTAGGGAGGCCGCGCTCCAAGCTGTCACACATAAAAGGTAAGACCACATTTGGACTACACTGCTTTGTTCCTTCATGTCAGGAATCATGCTATTGCTCCTAAGATACAGCAATGTAAACCAGCAATAAGCAGTAATTTCACAGGGAGTGAATGTCTGTTGTCAGAATTCACAGCATGACTCAGAAAGTGATGTAATGTCAGCCAACAGTTCCTGTGATCGAAACAGCATCTGCTTTCTTCTCTGTATCAGATGTGGACTGACAATCCATTTTATCGGTTGCGCAAGACTGCACACATCGTCCTCTTGTAACAGCCATGTAATTGAACACTTGTAGTTCTGCTTACAATCCCATAGCTGAATTTCTCCTTACTAGGTCTCAGTAGTTCCTCCCTGGAACCTTCCTAATTAATATCACTCTTGTGCTTAGATCCTTCAAATAGCCACAAATGGAAAAACCACCTCTCCTTTTTCTGAGTTTCATTTGCATCAGTCTGCCCTCCATCTGTACTTTCTTGTTTTCCCATGAAATAGTAAAATAGTTTGGTTGCTCTTTTTAGGACACGAAGGTGATCCCTGCCTACGGTCATCAGACTGCATAGAGGGACATTGCTGTGCTCGCCATTTCTGGACCAAAATTTGCAAGCCTGTGTTGCATCAGGGGGAGGTGTGCACCAAACAGCGCAAGAAAGGGTCCCATGGACTGGAGATTTTCCAACGATGTGACTGTGCCAAGGGGCTGTCATGTAAAGTATGGAAAGATGCGACCTCCTCTTCTAAATCAAGACTTCATGTGTGCCAGAAAATCTGAATGAGGATTGGGAAGACAGTAATAAGTGATTGTGGCTTTATGTGTTTAATGCATTATGGCATGGTGGAAAAAGAGGACTGCAAATGGAAGTGGAATGGCTAAAGTAGAATAACAGTAAAAGTCACAGCAAATGCATTTCTTTTCGAGCTGGTGGTAGACGCAAGTGTAGCTGGATTTCATCTCCTGTCCAGTTCTTCTGTAAATAACTTCTACAGTTTGTGGGAAATGCTAGTATGCAAACAAGTAGAGTGGAAATGAATGTCACTTACCTTGCTGTATTGTCCCGTGATGTTTCAGGAGTTCAGTGTTAGGGCTAGAGTGGGTTTCCAGTGTGGTAATGACTGCTAAATGAATTGTATGCATTGTACTCCATAGGAAGCAGTGCATGCCAGGAAGACTCATCCGTCAACACATGATTAGGCACATTGCAGGTGTAAGAAATTGAAATAAAGTTACTGTGAATGTCCACATGCCCTTGTCATTCAGGACTGACACTTTAGCAGAGAAAGCACTCCTGCAGGACAAGAGTGCTATGTTTTGCATGCCCTTATGAAGGAGGTAAAAACTTGCCATCTCAAAATTTCAAGAAAGTAGCAGTTTCTCTAAGAGGAGGCATTTAAATGGGGTTTTGTTTCCTATACATGGGTAAATTGAAACTCTTTATGTAGTTCAATGTCATAGTATGACATTTAATCACTTCTATTTGCCTCAGTTTACTGCTAATACACGTTGGGTTGAACAGATGAAGATAATATGTGTGCATGCTGAATCCAGAATTATATATAGGCATTTCCTCATTAGTCCTAAATATACTTTCCTTGCCTAAGCATTCTTGCATTATAGACATTTCCAAAGGAAATAGCAGAGTGTTGAAGTGCCTAACACGAAGAGCTATGAAGTTCCTTCTTGTTGCTGTTATAATAGATGATAGAGACATTTGTTGAGGTGTTCAGAGCATACTGCTACAAACTCAAATTTTTACATTTTATTAGTAGCAACAGGCTACTGATGGCACTCTGCAGCAGTATAATGGATTTGTTCTTAGAG